GGACCAATGATGGAGGGAGAGCTGTATGAGCTCCAGTGTGACGTTCACAATGTGGCTCCTGTTCAGAATCTCACTGTCAACTGGTACAAAGGACAGACTCTGCTGAATCAAACCACCTTCACTGAAGCTAGCGAGACTCCAGTGAATAAAACAGCCACACTCCTGATCCGTCCAGACAGAGCTGATGATGGAGCTCAATACAGGTGTGAAGCAGAGCTGGATCTGGGAGCAGAAGGACCTCAACCTCATCCTACAATTTCATCAAATCCTCTCAGCATGACTGTATATTGTACGTAAGATCTGTTAGCTTATATGATTAATCTTTTTAGAGTATGTTAACATATCCGAATCAAAAAGACTTTTAGTGGTTATAGCAGTGACACAGTGTGTCAAGTTGTGTAGTAATAGAGATCAGATGCAGCATGTGACTTTTTTTTACAGTGGGGAAAATATTTATTTGATCCCCTGCTGATTTTGTAAGTTTGCTCACTTACAAAGAAATGAAGGGTCTGTAATTTTTATGGTAGGTTTATTTTAACGTATAGAGACAGAATACCAACCAAAAAATCCAGAAAAAAACCATTATATAAAGGTTAGAGATTCCATCTTCAGTGTGGCTGAGGGAAGGAGGTTCTCGTCCAAGATTTTATAGTATATGGCCCCATACATTTGCCCCTCAATGCGGTGAAGTCGTCCTGTACCCTTAGCAGAACAATCTCTAACCTTTATATAATGCGCTTTTTCTGGATTTTTTGGTTGGTATTCTGTCTCTAACCGTTAAAAGAAACCTACCATAAAAATCGCAGACCCTTAATTTCTTTGTAAGTGGGCAAACTTACAAAATCAGCAGGGGATCAAATAAATAATTTTCCCCACTGTAAATATCTAAATTTGAGTAGTTTTGTTAAAAACAAATATGGATTAACATAAGAAATGTAAGATGCAGTATGCAGATGCAAAAGCTCTTAACCTGTGTGTTTTTGGCTCCTTCCTACAGTTAAACCAATCATCAATGAGACCAAACTGCCCTCCGTAGTGCATGTGTTTCGAGGCTATCCAGAGGTGCTTGTTTGTGAAGCCGAGGGAAACCCAAAACCAACAATCAGCTGGAGCCTCGGCACAAATGACACAGTACATAGCACACATAGTGAAAAACTTAATATAACAGAGTCAACACCTGAGGATCTGTACTGCACTGCAAGCAATTCTGTTGGCAGTATCACCAGACATGTAAAAGTGTCCATACAAGGTAACTATGCATTTGTGTGCCATTAACCATGTTTCAGTTTAGTAATACTGACGGTAAAACTACAGAGGGAAGGAATTGTGTCTGTTTCACAATTGTATGTTTTGTATTTGTTAGTCTGATATTAAACAAAATATATGTTTTGGTTATATTAAATATGCATTTAATATAATGTATTAATAATAATATAGTTTTATTATGAAAAAACAATTTAATAGTATGTTGTCAGGATAGATTTTATGTAACATCATTTGAAGTTCCTCTGTTAAAAATCACAGATGCATGTGATTGATTCTTTTTGTCTTTTACCTATTTGTCTTTGACTAATGCAAATTTCATTCTTCCTTCCTAAATCAATTTACACACTTTCTGATTTCCGCACAGCGTCTTTTGCGGTTAGTGGTTTGGTCTTTCACAAAGTATTTAAATTTTTTTAAGAAGCTGCTTGGTTTGTTGGTCTTGTAATGCTCTGCTTGCAGCGTTAGTGTCACTGTGATCACATTATGGCTTATTATATTTAAGTGTTATGGCTTGTGTCATTGTTGTCTTGCATGGGTTTTTCTAGACTTATTTAGATTAGCATGCATGATGCAGTATAGTGATCTATCCTAAGTTTTGCTTGCTTGGATTTCATTCACTAAATTGCTGATTTACTCGTATATTTGTTTTTATTTTTGACACAGAGAATTACATACCCACAATATTAGGCATTATTGGTGCTGTAGTGGTGGTCATCTTTGTCATCTTCATCTTCATCTACATCTACTTGACCTACTACAAAAAAAACAGGATGGGCCATTATGATGTGAAGAGGCCCAATGCATGTAAAGAACTCTTAGCGCAGCCAGAACAGTCCGCGTGAAGGAGCATTATCTCTGCTTTGGTTATGTTTCCCTAATTTTGGATCCATCTGCTGAGCCTCACTGTCCGCAGTCAGATCAGATTGTGACGAGAAATCATATGGATCAGTGTTATTTCACTTCACTCTAAGATCCAGCTGACAAGCTTGTTGATCAACTAAAGTTGAGTAGCATCCTTAGTAGGCTTTTATTGGATTCTTGTATGTTTTTATAAAGATACTATACTTATATTGTGTGTTTCAGGCATATTGATCATTCTGCAACACACACACACACACACACACACACGAGTCAAGCTGAGAGCATGTGCTATCATCCTGTAGCACATAAAGGAAGGAGGAAAAATGCTGTGAAATCCAGCAGAACAAACATGCAGGTGCACCTTATTGCGATTTGCCGCAGCGCTGGGACACGGGAGGAGAAGAGAGAGCGCCGAACTCTGCAGCTCCTTACAGACTTGCCACAAGAAATGCCTGAATGAGCCGCCTGAGAAAACACACGACAAGCAAGAATATTATGAAAAAACAATTTAATAGTATGTTGTCAGGATAGATTTTATGTAACATCATTTGAAGTTCCTCTGTTAAAAATCACAGATGCATGTGATTGATTCTTTTTGTCTTTTACCTATTTGTCTTTGACTAATGCAAATTTCATTCTTCCTTCCTAAATCAATTTACACACTTTCTGATTTCCGCACAGCGTCTTTTGCTTTGCTTATGTCAATGCTTTGGTTATGTTTCCCTAATTTTGGATCCATCTGCTGAGCCTCACTGTCCGCAGTCAGATCAGATTGTGACGAGAAATCATATGGATCAGTGTTATTTCACTTCACTCTAAGATCCAGCTGACAAGCTTGTTGATCAACTAAAGTTGAGTAGCATCCTTAGTAGGCTTTTATTGGATTCTTGTATGTTTTTATAAAGATACTATACTTATATTGTGTGTTTCAGGCATATTGATCATTCTGAATATATATATATATTAGTGATGTCAAACGATTAATCGCATCCAAAATAAGTTTTTGTTTACATAATATGTGTGTGTACTGTGTATATTTATTATGTATATATAAATACAGAGAGAGCGCCGAACTCTGCAGCTCCTTACAGACTTGCCACAAGAAATGCCTGAATGAGCCGCCTGAGAAAACACACAACATATTTAAGAAGCACATAAACTGGATTCATGCCATTGCTATTATTAACTAAAAGTATTTTTTGTTAATTGAATTAAAATAAAATATAAATACTAGATGAAAAATGGAAATTAGAAATTTTACAGCTACTATTTAAAATAAGTTCAAGTTGAAGTAGTAAAATTATGAAAACTCCAATAAAAATAAGGCTAAAAATAAATAAATAAATATATATATATATATATATATATATTGTATTACAACTATGTTGAGAAAGACACTAAAGTACTACAGGTTGTAATTTTGTGGTGACTTTCTGGAGTTTTCTTGTGCCTAAGCTGTATGATCACTTTGTGATCTGTTGATGTAAATTTTCTCAGACCTCTCTGTAAATAGAATCTATTTTTTTGTGTAGAATATAATCTTTATTTATTATATGGAATTCACATAGTCATCTGTCTTAATAGGAGCACAAGTGTTAACTAACATATGACATATAAATGCATTTTTAAGAATTTATTTTAAATAAAATTGCACTGCATTTCTATTTTCACTCATTAATATTGTAAAATAATTACAATTGTAAAAACTGTACTAAGTACTGTGACTGCAGTAGCTACTAGCTAAATTAGCCAAAAATCTTAGCAATGGTTCCTTTTGGGAAACGCAAAGGGAATAAAGCCAGACCTGTTACTTTACCAGTACTGCACCACTGAAGTTTTTTTTTTTGTCAATTGCAACGACTGAATATAGATAGCCTCTATGTTTTAAATGGCTCTAAACCTGACTGATGTATTCCACAATAGCCAAAATAGTTTTTCAGAAGCTTGCATGTGTATAGCATTGGTCAAAGCATGAAACTGGCTGCCAGTTTGTAAGCCTTAACCAGTGCATGTATTTTGGTTTATTTTTTGCTGGCTGATACATTGACATCTGCGCAAATGAAAATGTTTGTGAAATGTGAAAATGAGAAAGCCAACTTACTGAAATGCTATTTAAACTTCTTCTTCTTCTTCTGACTAAAACTGCTGACTCTAACTCCTAGAGCTTTAACTCTACGAACTCCCAACTCAGCCCAAATCTTCACACTGATCTGACCGAGTGTGCTATATCTTTTGTTTAGTATTTTCTTTACTCTTTAATTCAAAATCTATGTCTAAAAAAGGGTAATATTTTATGAATTTGAGGTCTGAGATGTGGGAATTCACGGTAAAGATAGAGAGGGCAAACATTTTGCATTTTAGGTCAGCATTGCCGTCTAATCAGCCAAAATGGTCTTAAATAGCCTGCATAGAACTTCATCTTTTATAACATGGGATTTTGACCAAATATATTCAATCTTGTTTTTTGTAATGTTGCAACAAGATGTAAATTTTTTTGGGACATATAAGGTAATAAAACATATATAAAAAATACCTTAAAGCATAGGCGCTGATATAGCCCCTGAGCACCCATGGAAATGATCGAGCATGATCGAGCACCCACAGAAAAACACGAGATAGTCTCCGTTCATTTTAACCAATAAGAAATGGATTGCGGCTTGTACGACTTTATTCTTGTTTTCATAGTTCATTTGAGGCAGTTTTTGGCGTTATTTTAATGGCAAATGTCAAGAGTGCATTATTGTAATACGAGAGGGCGCCAGCACAAATCTCTAGGCATATAGAGATCATGACTCTGCGCTCCCTCAGATATTACATGGTCTGCGCCCTCAAACTTTGTATTGTATCCTTTGCTAGGACAGGATCATATTTGGCTGAGATACAACTATTTGAAAATCTGGAATCTGAGGGTGCAGAAAAATCTAAATATTGAGATAATCGCCCACCCACCGGCAGAAACATAAATCGGCGCCTATGCCTTAAAGTAACTACAAATGAGCATGTAAAGCAAATATCTTAAAAATAAATTCTGTGTGGTGCATGCCCGCGATCCACGCAATGTTCTCTCCTTTTTCCCCCCTTGTTTGCATCTCTGATCTATCTATCTATCTATCTATCTATCTATCTATCTCATAGCAACCTCCCAGAACACCCTAGCAACCACATAGCAACACCTTAGCAACCACCCTGAGTACCCTAGCAACCACCCCAAGTACCCTGGCAACCGCATAGCAACACTCTAGCAACCACTCCAGGTACCCTAGCAACCACCCCAAGTACCCTAGCAACTCCATAGCAACACCTTAGCAACCTCCCAGAGTACTCAAGCAATGCATAGCAACAGCCTAGCAACCACCACAAGTACTTTAGCATCCACATAGCAACACCCTAGAAACCATGCCGAATACCTTAGCAAACCCATAGCAACACCCTAGCAACCACCCTGAGTAACCTCACAACTACATAACACCCTAGCAACCGCATAGCAACCATCTAGCAACACCTTAGCAACCACACAAAATACTCTAGCAACCACATAGCAACACCCTAGCAACCACTCCGAGTACCCTATCAACCGTATAGCAACACCCTATTAATCACCCTGAATACCCTAGCAATTGCAAAGCAACTCCCTAGCAACCACACAGACTACCCTAGCACCTAAAAAGTTACCAAGATATTAAAAAGAGTGGACTTTGACTAGTTGCGTGGTTTTAAAGGGGTCATATGATGTTGCTAAAAAGAACATTATTTTGTGTATTTGGTGTAATGAAATGTGTTTATGCGGTTTAAGGTTCAAAAAACATTATTTTCCACATACTGTAAATTATTGTTCCTCCTCTATGCCCCGCCTTTCTGAAATGCGTAGATTTTTACAAAGCTCATCGGTGTGAAAAGGTGTGCTCTGATTGGCCAGCTATCCAGTGCATTGTGACTGGCCGAATGCCTCAAGCGTGTGACGGAAATGTTACGCCCCTTACCATACTGTGATACCGTGTCCTGACGTGACGAGACAAAACCAATAAAGCCCATTATAAACTAGGCATTTGTTGCCCTCTCAAAGAGGCACAAAATCACTTTCACTGACTTTTTCATTAACTGTTCCCTCCTGGTGGAATGACCTGCCCAAATCAATCCGAGCAGCTGAGTCCTTAACCATCTTATCGGTGGAGTCGAACGATAGAGTCAATGGTTTTTACACTCTTCGGTCTTCACACGACCGCTGCCGCGGTATACTAAGCTTTTTATATTCGTCTAACAAAACTCTAATTGAATTCAGCTGGACACACTTTCCTGTTAAGTACACTTACGAGCTGCTTTTAACTTCTGCTGATTGACTGCTTCTCTCAAAGAGTATTTCTTTACACTGTGTTTTGCTGGCGCTTGAACACACTTTCCTGTTTATCACAACAAATGGCCAAGCTAAGCGCACAACACTGACAAGGTACGCCATACAGTATGAGACCGTACTAACTATAAACATACGTAAATATGAAGCAGGGCAACAACTCCATAAATGCAGTTATGCCCTAAAATTCAAGATATTGCTGCAAAAAATGCCCCTTTATGTGTTTTTGTCTCATATTTATATCATACAATATCGATAGATATCACACGAGCAGGGAGAGCAGTAGGCTATTACACGAGTGCTGTTTTTCACCAGAATATCATGAGTTTAAATGCGATTTTATACAACAGTTCAGTAAAAAGTTGATATTGTGTTATATTTTAAACACAATATTATGTGTTTTTGCTCAATTTTTCAAAGAATATATTACCTTTAAAGCCACAGCAGAATTGTTGCACATCTCCGAGCAACACAGCGGTGTTTAGTTAATAACACCGCCCAAATGTTCACGCAAAGAAAGAAGGCGTAACTTTTATTCTAGTATTGTTGTTGCCGCCGCCGCCGCCATGTCGTGAAGACGCTGTGTGTTTCGTTGTGAATGTACTGTAAGTACTGGTTGACTCTTAACTTTTATAAAGAATATCTCTTTGGATTTGAGACTTTAGTCTTTGCAACTTTACAGATCTTCTTTACGCACCAAGAGCTTGTAACACTCCAAAGAGAAAGGAAAAATTAAAATCGCATCATATGACCCCTTTAAAATGGTGGCAAACTTGTGGACCATTCCTGTCACGAATAAAATAACTCAGTTTTCATTGCATGTGGATGTACATCATTTCAAACCTGTCAGAAGTACTATTCATTAGCCTACTTTAGCTGGTGAAACTGTTCTTCTTATGCACTTGTTTGATTCTACAGCTTCATTATTTGTAAGGCACAGGTACGTTCCTGAAGAACACTACTGAATGCCCTATTCAGCTCGACCCGCTGAGGGTTGCATGCTGGTACAACAGATCTGTTTCTGTTAACTGCTACAATTCAGTCACAAGGACACTTATGTGTGCTTGAACACTCTCAACATCTCTTGTATTCAGTCCTTTCTGCATACTGTATAGTAGGGAAGTATGCATTAGTCATGACAATGTCTGTGGGGGTCCAGCATGACTCATTCTGACACAGAAAGCGTTGTGGGAAGTGATATGAAACCGCATGTTTTTATATAGACCCACCCTTATTTATCTGAGCTCGAGGATGTGTTGACAATGAAGGGAAATGGGGTGAAGTAAAGAGCTGTGGTTTTTCAAAGGTGGCCTTTAAACACTTAATGCGATGTTCAAAACGACTTTGCCTTATCTAAAAGATAGGTGAATGAGTTCTCTCTATTTCCAGTCCCGGTTTTGTCGTGACGGGGTACAAATGAATAAAGTTACAACGTGCACTTTTAGAGAAATGTGTGGGGGAGGGATAACATTAACTAAAACAGGCAGCTGAGCGAGGGCAGACTGGGCAGTGGTTTCCTGCGATAAATGAAGGGTCCGAGACCGTGTGTTGTGTTTGTTACTGCTTGAACGATTAAACACCGTTGGCTGGTTAAAAACGGTTTCGATACAGCGCAGCTACAACTGAAAATGACGGCGCGGAGTGATCGGATTCTCTTCACGTGTCTCATTTTGGATCTGCTGTCGCTGCGGTACGCGTTGGATGGTAGGACATTTATATAACGAGTGTTGTATTTTTACAATCCGGAAGAAAAATTATATATTTTCAGGACAGTTTTCCGCGTTAAACTTGAAAAAAGGGGGTTTAAATAAGTTAAAGAGTGATTGAAAGGCCCCGGTGTTTTATTTCCTCCGCTGTGACTCGCTTCTGAAAAGACTTTGAGTAACACTGTTTAAATAGCGATAGAATAACGCTGTCAAACAAGATAAATACACCTTGTTTGTTATCATTAACAGCCTGCATTTAGCAGTTTAACCACAGCCAGACATAAAAGTTGTCTGTCAGCAATTGCAAATATACTGGAGAGTTAAAATGCACTGTACTTAGTTACCGTTAGACAAGTTAACGTTAGGGGTCTGCTAAAGCTATAGCATTTACGAGGAAACATTACAGTTTTGTTTAACTGTGATTACTCCCTTACGAAAATTAACCATGGTTTTATTGTAGCAAAAGTGTAGTAACTATGTTTTTTGTTGTATTGATTAGGCCCACCATTTGTATTACCACAGTTTTACTACAAATGGTTAAACTATGGTTAGTGTAGCAAAACTATGGTTAATTTGTGGTTACCATGGTTTAACAAAAGTAACCATGGTTTTTGGATTTATTTGTAGTAAAATCAGCTAGTGTAGGCTGGTTTAAGAGTTTTTTAGAAGAAAATAGAGAAAATATGTCCATGAAGTGCAAAACATTATAGCCCCTGGCATTTGCTGGAAATACCACACTTATAACAATACAAAATAGAAAGTTATGTGTATTGTTTTGAAACATGGTTGATGGTCCTTGGTGGTCAAAAAAGCAACAGCTGCAACATACCAGCTAGAAACCAGCCTTGTGCCTAAACAACAGTCCGCAACAGTCAACACCAGTGTGCATTTGTTTTTAAAATTAATTTCTCTAGTGCTGTCAAACGATTAATCGCGATTAATTGCATCCCAAATAAAAGTTTTTGTAAAATATGTGTGTATTTATTATGTATGTGTGTGTGTGTGTATATATGCGTGTGTGTATATATATATATATATATACACACACACACACACACATGCATGTATATATTTAAGAAAAAAAATTGTTTATATATAATGTAAATTATATGAATATAAATATACATGTACATGTAAATATTTTCAAAATATATAATGTATGTGTGTGTGTTTATATATACATAATAAATATACACAGTACACACACATTATGTAAACAAAAATTTTTAGTTGAATTAAATTAGTTGAAATTAATCGTTTGACAGCACTAAATTTCTGTAATTGTTTTTTTTTCTATAGATTAAAATAATTTGATTTTGCACTTATTTGAAGTATTTGACATTTCAGCCAATCTATTATGCTTAATGTGTCTTGCAGATATTTCCATCAGCTTTGTGAATCACAGTGGACCAGTGATAGTGGGCAAGCAGTATGAGCTCCAGTGCTTCATTCAGAATGTGGATCCATCTAAGAGTGTTGTTGTGAGATGGTACAAACTGAGTCAAACCAACTCCACTGATACCACCAAGACTCCAGTCAGTAGCACATCTAAACTCCAGCTCAGTCCAAACAAAACTGATGATGGAGCTCAATACTGGTGTGAAGCAGAAGGAACCCAACATTATCCAACAATGTCATCAGAACATCTCAGCATTACTGTACATTGTATGTACAATAATTTGTCCAGGTTTACTTTGCAGGTATTTCAGTGGTCCTCATTTTTATAATGTGAAACCTGTTTTTCTCTTTGCTCTTTCCTGTAGATAAACCAATCATCAATGAGATCAAACTGCCCTCCACAGTGCCTGTATTTCGAGGCTATCCAGAGGTGCTTGTTTGTGAAGCCGAGGGAAACCCAAAACCAACAATCAGCTGGAGCCTCGGCACAAATGACACAGTACATAGCACACATAGTGAAAAACTTAATATAACAGAGTCAACACCTGAGGATCTGTACTGCACTGCAAGCAATTCTGTTGGCAGGAAGACCAGACATGTAAAAGTGGTATTAAAAGGTAACTATGCATTTTTGCATATGTTTTGGTTTACATTTCCAACAGCTGTTTCTACTTTGTTGCAGTTTAAAATATGGGGATATGAAATTTTGATCAGGCCAAACATGTCTAAAAATAAAATGCATGATTTTCAGATGTTCACACTAGTCCAAATATGCAATAAATCACAAAGAAAAAAATTAACCAAATCATTAAAAATGATGTAAGAGAAACTTGATGTGATTAGAATGCATTATTTTGATTACACATGTACACTTGCTATGATTAATCATTTCATTTTGCTTGTTTGCTTCTGATATGGAAAATCATGAAGTATTGTTTTTTTCTGCAATTTTAGCACTTGTCTGTTTAGACTGTTTTTTTTTTTTGTCTGATCTGTTGGTGTGCTTTATTTCTCTTGACACAGAGGATTACCTGCCCTTAATAGCAGGACTTATTGCAGTCATTGTGGCGTTCATCTCAGTCATCTTCATCTTCATCTTCTCTATCTACTACAAAACAGCCAAGATGGGCCATTATAGCCTGAAGGATGCCAAGCCTAGTGCACAAAATGGAAACATAGCACAGAATGGCAAACACAACCCTATTCCAATGAAGAAACTCTCTCAGAGCAATATCCTTGCTTAGGTTATGAAATCCCTGGGTTTGGCGCATCTACCGAGTCCCAGTGTCCACAAAGGGATTTTTTACACTGGAAGTCTCTAGCCCCCTACTTTGTGGCGTTTTTGTTTCTTCGTATATTCTTCAGCACCTGTTCATTCACTCCACTCCTAGATCCAGTTTTTATCAACTGTTAATTACATCACAAAATACACTTTTTAGTTTGCAATCTAATGGACCAGAAGAAAATATGTGACAGAACCGGTGACAAAGAAATGCTAAATGATTTCAAATTAACGGACCTGATGTCTGCAGTGGACGTTTTCATGAATCAACGATCTTGATATAAGTGAATGTTCATTAGCTACAAAGTGACTTTGATTGATTGAGTAATACTTGCTTTGTATGTCATTTAAGGGAAGGCTTTTGTTAAATTGTGTAAAAAGACTATTCTTTTGTCTCTGGCACATTGGTCAGTTTGAATATTTGTGTTTTGTCAAAAGCTATACGGTATGTATTAAGAAATGATGTTTTATTAACAACGTTCAGGAGGAGCACATTCAGATAATCAACCAATTAAGCACGATAGTATATATATATATATATATATATATATATATACAGCCAACTTGTTTCATGACAGATTTCAGGCGTCCGTCCTCCACCCCAACACCTCACTCCTAACTATTCCTATCCCAGCTTGGGATATGGGGGAGTTCTCTGGGAGCTCGGAGCCTTCCCTTCAGACAGCATGCCAAATAGGCATCCTATTTGCTCAGTCTGGTTATATGTAAGTGTGATTTGTGAAAGACACCATGATTGAGTGTGTTACTTCGTTAAACAAATTATTTGTTTGATGTTTCTATTCCTTTGGTAAAATCCACACTTTAGAGGGTGGAAATATAGCACACGATGGCTGTAAAGAAGTCAAAGCTTGGGTATGAGGTTTCTCATGCTGAACCTGTGGGAGAATATTTGGATGAATTTCTAAAAAATTTCTCTCAGGCCTCATAGTTTGTAAAAAAAAGGAAAAAAAAAGATGCTCAACATAAAATAGGTGTGCCAGTTTTATGGCTCAAGCTGTATAATGATGTTAAAAGCATAGTTTAACCAAAAACGACAGTTCTGTCATCATTTACGCACCTTCGTGTTCTTCTAAAGGCTTTTTAAAAATCATCATAAAGTTAACCCATATAACTATGTTCTGAAGCAATATGGATGTTTGTCTGTTTTCAGTTTGATATGTGTGGTCACTATCAATTGCTGTTGTATGGAATAGCATTATGTAAAGATTATTAAAAAATTCACCTTTCCAGTTTCACAAAACACTTAGTCACACAAGTTTGGAACGACATGAGGATGAAAAAATTATGACAGAATTTCCATCTTTTTAATTTTGTCACTGAATCTCTGTTTAATTTCGATATGAATGTAATCTCACCCATATTCTGGTGGGTTTTCAGTTTTGTTATAGAATTTATACCATCTGTCCTTATAAGCACATGGCATTTGAATTTGATGATTTGAATTTGTAAATGAATTTGTTGAAAACATTTGAGGAATTATTCATTTGTTTAAAAAAAAATCTATAATAAATGAAATATTCTTTTAACAGAATCGTTTTCGATCTTTGGCAAAAAAATATATTATAGTATTGAACAGAAGTCGGTTAAATACAGATATGTTGTGTATAACTACTGCATAATAAATCAGTAGGGGTTCAATCTTCAACTGGCTAGCAGGATGACCTGTCAGTGGCGGCTCCTGCCAGCCAGTTGAAGATTGAACCCCCACTCTAATAAATAACAACTACATTATTTTAATTTACCTCAGGTGCTTTTCTATTTGGTGTTTTAATATTTTAATTTTTTAATAGTTTTTTATAACAGTAAATCGAGCAGGTATGTTATAACAGATGCACCCTTGATTGTCTTTCACGATTAGCATTTTTAATCTTGTTATATCTCACACATTTGTAACACACACACACACACATTATGGCCAGTGTTTACGATTTTATTCTTAGGTTGAATAAACATTATAAACATCATATCAGACGCTTCGCTGCACAGCAGGGACAATGCATCGACTGTTCCAACATGGAGATGTTTTATTTCTATTAAATAACTTTCTGATGTGTTTACCAAACAGCCCATTTGTCAACACGGTCCTGTTGAAACCAATTTAAACCAGACCAAGCTTCAAGCCTGGCTGTAGCTAGTTTAGAATGGTTTTAGAGGGATTTTGATCACTTTTAGCTGGTCAGGCTGGGAGACCAGCTGACCAACCAGCATAGGCTGGTTTTACCTGTTCTTTACCAAGTGAAAATGTCGTATTCTGTCGGTAAGAAGGTTTGTATCCCTTTAATAATGCGTCATGTTTAGAGAGTCTGAGATTTGAAACGGTTTAGAAACTGGATTAGCTTCCCTCAGAAACTCATTTGCGCGCATGTGTTCTTCAATGTGAACTGCCTAAATGGTTTCATTTCTATCCGATGACAACCATATCCACTCGTGATTTGGGTGGGGTTTCGCTGGAGGAGCCGCGCTGGACAGTCACAAATCTGAAGGCAGAGGCGACCCGTTTATTTATTCGCACGCCTCAACCGCGCCTTTGTCTGGTCGATGGTACCCTCAAACACTTACAATATGCTGCAGTGTTTTTATGGACTTGTTTATCTTTCGGCAGTTTTGGCGTTTGCGACTCTGACAGGTTTGTATTGACTTGTTTCCCTTTTATTCTTTCGATACGTGAAGCGAAAACAATAATTAACTAGTTGCATACGACCTTGAATGTGTTTTAAACATTTACTTTCATGTGAGTGATTCCGAGCGTCGTTGACCTCTATTGTCTCTGCGTTAAAATGTTGACATATTTGAGTTAATTCATTACTGTACACTAAGGAGCCACGCTATATCTACAGTAGCGCTTGCAATATGACCTGTGCGTGAGTACTCAATATTTTTAGTGCTGGCAAACTCTTCAGCAGTTCATATAACCTGTGGATTTGTTGTATAGATATGTCCTTTAAAAAGGTAGGAAAGTTAGTAGTTTTACAGTTCATGTAGCCATTACTAATATTGCGTTCACAGTCATCATGACAATACTGACAAAGCTGTTATTATAAATTATTTATTGCTGATATTACTACAAATATCAATTTTTTTGTATTCACGGGGTTTAGATAGTCCTACTGACAAACGTTAAACGACAAAAAGCAAACACCTGTCCGAGTTCAGATCTACTGAAACGTTTATGATTATGTCATAACATTTATCTTAAAAAATTAAATTGTAATTATATTAATAAGGGTGAGTTATGATGAAAACAAGGTTGACACAACCTGTGGAAACGATTTTTTAATAAAATAATTTGTCTTCTAAATTATGAATAAAATGTTTATTTCCTGTGACATGTTCTTGCTTGCTAAAACAGAAAGGAAAGGTTGAGAAGGCGGGGCCAGGACAGGACAAAATGCATATTTATGGAGACAATACTGAAATAAAATGAAAATTTTAAATGAATGTACTGGATTTTTCTTTGACATCTTTAGAAAAGATAATAGCACATGGTAAAAGGTTATGCTCACACGGTTACACACTTGCTTTAGAATGACCCTGCTGTGTCAGTGAATTTCTTAGTTTCATTTCCCAGATGGTAAGAATTGATGAGCCTCTTTGTTTTAAAAGAATCATGAACTGTCATAGACCGATGGTCTTCTACAATAGCCAAAAACATTTTTTTTTTTTTTTTTTGCAGTTTGTATTTCTTGTTTGATGCAGTTGGCCAATAAACTCAATAAAATAACAAATCCTCACCCAAGAATCCAGACGGTCATTTTTATTGCAAGTTTTAATGTGTGTTAATTGGTTATCTGTGTTCAGTCTGTCAGGCAAACAATACCTATATGCAATTACTCTGTGTTCTTCAATTTGTTTAACAGGTGCACAAGCTGAATGTCCTCTTCAGCTCAACCCACAGAGAGTTGTTGTGAGATACGGCGGTTCTGTTGCCAGTTTTGATCAAATAAACATTAATCTGACACTTTGCCTCAGTGTTTCTCTCAATCTCAGTTTGAAATTTGATTTAGTGTTTTTTACATCCTTATAGGCTGTTCACACAGAATGTTTTTCCATTCCGCTTCGCTACATTTCCATGTTTTTGTAAATGTGATACAGCTTTTGAAGCATCTCGCATGACATGGTGTTCTCAGAAACGCGGCACTTAAGTTAAGAGAAGTTCAACTTTAAAAAAACACATCTCAAGACCTTGCGTTTCTTCCCGTTCCACTGCCCACATGAACTAGCCCTTACTGTTCAATATAGTTCTGCAGTGATGGTGTATATTGGTTCCCTTGAGAAAAACACAATAGGATTTTTCCTATGGAGTTTGGATTATTGTGGAAAATAAGCTTTGTGACCAACACAGTTTTATGATTCTTACACATCTTGTTCATAATGATAACCTTCACAAATTAAAATAACTTTATGAAGCCTAAACACAATCGGCAGAAGAAAAAAGCTACACATAGGCTGTAACTTCAACGTCACCATCACTATGCTTCTGACGACTTTTAGACTTTTTATAAAACATTTTCCCTATCTAAAGTTTGAGTTAGAATAGTGTGCAAGAGTGCGATTATAAAACATAATGAGGCTGTAAACGTGGACTAGTTATTATTATTATTCCTAATAATGTTTAATGTCCCTGCCAACCTCTAGTGCCATTTAGCCACTTGTTAGCAGCAACCACTTTTTTAAATACAAATAGGAGCTTTAAAAATCACAAGGGGTTATTACATTAATGTTCTATGTTGTAGAATAACATGAATATAAAACCTGAATATCTTGAATTTAAACATGAATATATTTTGAGCTTGTGTTAAACACAGATCTTATTTCAGGCATTTATCCCCAAACCCATTGAATTCTGGACAGTTGAACCAGAAGTGCTAACCTAGTTTTGCATTTTGGCCTAAAAAATTGTCATCCCTGCAGCACTCCATAACAATGACTTCCGATACAGGGTGGCGTCTATTCCATTTGAAATGAAAATCCTGAAAACGAGGAAGGAAACATGCATGTGTTTGTGACATTTAGCATATTTATACAAGTCGATTATCTTAAACTCACAGTATTGACTTATCCCAAAGTTCATTCTTTATCTACGGGGTGTTTTTGTGGTCTTGAAAAAGCTTCACATTTGCATTTAATGATTCATCAGGCACTTTTGAGGAATAGTGCCACAATAGTCTCTTGTAGTCTCCCGTACACTGGTGTTGTGTTCCCGCCAGGCCGCGCCAGGACTGCTGCACTGCTGCTGGCAGTGTGTGTGTTGTACAACCAACAGAGTCACGCTTCTGTTGCTGAAGCTGTTGATTGATTCTTCTGTTTGTAAAATCATTATTGTCTTTTCTCCCACAGACAGAACCACATTCTGGGCTATCGTTTTAACCGGCGTGGCGATGGCAGTGGTGTTAATCGCCTCTTATTTGATTTTCAAGTTTGGGTTTTCCAAGAATTCTGTCATTTGATGGACAAGAGATGACCTCAAAGTGGGACATTCTCCTCAGGGAGATCATAAAAAACGTGATTATTGTGGATTATTTTTTAAAGGAATAGTTCACCCTCGGGCCATCCAAGATGTAGATGAGTTTGTTTCTTCACCAGAACAGATTTGGAGAAATTTAGCATTACATCACTTGTTCAGCAGTGAATCCTCTGCAGTGAATGGGTGCCGTCAGAATGAGAGTCCAAACAGCTGATAAAAACATCACAATAATCCACTAGTCCATCCATTAAAGGGTTAGTTCACCCAAAAATGAAAATTAGGCTGCGTTTTACTCACCCTCAACTAATTTTCATTTTTGGGTGAACTAACCCTTTAATGTCTTTTTGCATCTTTAAGGCTTTGAATTCTAAACCATCTCTTCTAGCCAAGATATGAGTCCATAATCTAACAACACTTCCTCCAGTGAAAAAGTATGCATGTCCGCTGTTGTCCTCTCACATCAAAATACACCAACATATTTTGGACTGTTTTCACTTGCAAAGCAGATTTTTATTATCAGGTGAACTATGCCTTTAATGAATTGACGTGATTTTGCATGGCTTGGGGTGTTGCAGTACTGGGAACTGTTACAGCACTTTTTTTTTAAAAATCACCATATTCAACTTCAAATTAGATTTATTTTTATGTGTGTTTACTAATTATTCTGGTCCTGATGGGACAAAATCATGTCTCATAATTGTCATTAAATATAACCACTTTTTTGTGGAAATCCCATTACTGTACAACACTACATTATTTTTCCTTTAAAAATAGTTTCAATTTTGAAAAGCTATTCATTTAAGATCATCAATAATACCTTTGTTGTATTTTCATTGGTGACTATGTTAATTAGGTACTGAGTATGTACTATAATATTTTTTTACAGAAATGAATGTCATATTACATGCTACACATGTAAAAACAACAACAACAACATTAATGTTTAATTGTCTTTTTTTCTTTATGTAAAGCTTCATTTACATGTTCACCCATTAACTGCTTTATCTATCCCCCATAGTTTTATACCTAAAGTGAATTTATTTGTTATACACCCTCACATTATTTTTATACTGAGGTTGGGACATTTTTGATCAATAGGCTTTTTACTATTAAATGTACAGCATGCTTTTTTTCTATGCATTTTTGTAAAATATAAGGATTGATTTTTTTATTTTTTTTATTTTGTGGTGCATAAGTGATCAAGAGCATGTTATGAACGCTTCAAATATGCTGTTTGTTTCATCTAACCCTAACTGTAACCTTAACTAGCTAAAAGGTGCTAGCCAAATTAACCTAGTAACTGCAGGCTAATGCATTAACATGAACAAGAATCCAATTGCAGAGAGTGAAGAAGATAAAACAAAGATTGCTGAACTGAGAAAATGAATATTGATGTCAGTAGCCAACAACTTTCATCACAAAGACTGCAGAATCTCCATAATGCTGATGAAATAAAAGAAAGATTTGTTACCTCAAATAATAGTAGGTACTAATCAAGGGTGTTCTACATCCTTCATTGTGGTCTTCATATATATTGGTATGCAAGCGTATAAAAAGTTCCTTTTCAATACTGAAAGTTGTGTTCATTTCCTTTTCTCTTTTCCTCTTCAGCTAATGGCATGATGAGGTCAGTGGAAAAACAATGATCACATGCTTATTTTTCACCCAATAATTGCTCATAGCTATGATACTTTGTATGGTACATATAAAACTGAAGTTGATTGAAACTTCACAGTGTTGGTAACACTTCACAATATGGTTTTGAACACTACAAACAAGTGAACGCAAAAGCCATAACATGACAATGTTAAAAAGTACGGTACCTTACTGTAAAGTGTAATCGACATTTTTCGTACTCTTGACTACTTTATCACGTCTGAATGTCTTTGAATAATGTGTATGGTAGCATTGCTTTTTCATGTTTGTTTTTGTGCTTTTGTGTTATTTTATTAATACAGAATTTGTTTAAAAATCATTGCCTCAAATATCCTTTTTCTTTCTTTGTCAGAAAAATGAGTATCTGCATGACTAGCTATGACAACTAGGATTACAAAACATCTTCATCGAAATTCTTTGTCCAGACGAGGTTTTGCTAACTTAGTCATTTGTTAGTCATTTTGTACAATGCAAGCACAAGTTGCTTAATTTCTACATAAATGAGATCATTTCAATTGCTCAAATGGTATCTGGCTCTACGTTGTTTAGTACATGTAGAGCTGCCCCTCAGAAAAACACACTGAAACTATGACTTGTTTGTCAAATGAGCTGTCTTTTGTGTAGGCCTGTGTTTTACACAGTGACCTGAAGGGGTTTAACTGCCAAAATATGTGCAAATATAGTGTTGCTATAGCAACCGCTCTACAGGGACGAGTTTAGAGCAGCGAGCAGGACTGAAACCTCAGCCAGAGACAAATAAACACATCTCATGCAAAAGTAAACATGGCATTTAACAGTATTAAGAGTGAGGTGGTTGAATTAACGTGCACAATTTCTGGAAATAGGAAAGTCTAAGACAAAAAAAATACAATACACAGGAAATAAATGTGACTCAGCAAAAAGCCCCATGAGTCATAGCATTTAGCATCCACTACCTCACATTCAAGACTGCACATGTTCACGTTAATGGACTAAGTTAGAATACAAATGAATATTTCTGAGGTATGCACTGTGCGCAGGAAGACCCGCTAGCTAAACTGTGTAATTATGATGCTAGGGATAAATGTGACCTGCGAACAAGCGGAATCATGGCAGAAACTTGAAACCACGAACAAGACACTTTCGAAATGAGGCCAGACTTTGTCCTTCCCACTCAGGGTAGAGTATTTATATTGAGTACATAAAAATCAGTGTTGGGCTAGTTACTCAAAGAATGTAATATATTACTCATTACTAGTTACTCCTTTCAAAAGTAATATTGTTAATTTACTTATTACTTTCTGGCAACAGTAATTAGTTACACTAGTTACATTACTTTTTCTTCACGCCCCACAGAAGTTGTAACTGTGTATCTTCCACATAAAATTCTTCTAGAATGTTACTAACAACATATTTCTGCCTCATCATTTGACCAAAATCCACATTGGATCGCAGTCAAAAGTTATTATAAACACTCAATAGTGATTGATAGTGACCTTCAAGTAGAAGTGTTGTATTAATCTCATTAATTGTCATGTGTATCTTGAAGCTAATTGTAATTTCTCCGTTACCTATATATGATTATATTTCATTATGTGTTTGATCAAATCACATAAGTTTGTAAGAAACTGTTTAATTTTCCAAAAAAGATTTTTAATTATAGTAATAGAATGTACCACATGCTGATCAGAGGGATGTGGGTGGGATGTAATGTCAGAGTAAAGTAAAGCCACAACTTACTCAACAGTGCTCAGATTATCTTTTTTCCTGACAAAATCAATATAATGCAATATTTCTATCTGCTGAATGTAAGCTTTTCCATATTTCAAGCTTGCCTGCTGCACTGGGGACATCACATGCATGTGTGAGTCGTGAAAATTATGAAAATAAATCTAGGAATTATTTGATTGTTTAAATTTTAAATCAGTGGGGTTGAGGCATCAAAAGTAATTAAACTGTTTTATGGATGGTAACTGTAATATTATTACTGAAATCTTATTAGTAATTAATTACACTAGCTACTAGTTACTGCAAAAAGTAGCCTAATACTATCACTGTATCTAAGTTAGCAACTAGTTAGCCTACTGCCCAACACTGATAAAAAATACACAAGGACTGCTACTGACGTTTTATATCTGAAGTGGAATATTACGTTGATACTAGAAGCAATCTTGTTTATAGATTGTTGAGGCAAATAAAACGATTGTAGTGGTCCAAGATAAAATGAGTAACAGAAGGATCACATAGGCTACAACAAAATACATGAAATCAAAATTAAAGTTTTGTGGTTTTTAATCCCTGTGTGTTAACTTGGAGGTCACCAATATGCTAGTGAACTCCTAAATGTTGAGGCCGTTGATTTTTTTGCAGACTAGCAATGAGCAAATTATGTCCATTGCTGTGGCATCCTATTGTATTTTTTTATTTATTTTTTAAAATGTCCTGCCCATAATTGTATCTATATTAAAAGTTTAATATACCAAAGAACAAGATGCAACAGCCTATACCTCATTACTCCTCAAGTATTGTCTCCAAAGTTTGCTAATTTAACGGGTCTTAAAATGGAGTTTCGTGTGACGTCCAAAAATAAATCACAGAAAACGCAAAAACAAACACTTTGCGACCTCCACTGGTCACGAATGGAAATTCATTGGTAAAATATTGCAGCTGAATATTGATCCACAGAATAGCATAAACAAATATAGTTTTATTATATGACGATATATTTGTTATTTATGATTTTTTTTGTGGGGTGGGGGGGTACACAGTGTAGTTATTGTGTACCTGACTCATGTGTCCTGTTTTTTTGTGCTCATAATAACCTATTAATTTGTCTTGTTAACTCTCTCCTGAATTTGATCTCAGTCAGGAGAAATAGATTTCATAAGCCCCAATCAAGCATTTTCAAAAGAATATACTTGTTTTAAAAGTTTTTATATATGCGTTCATTATTTGGTTGTTTTGTTTAAAATCGTGTTTTATGTTTCTGCTTTGTGGATGACCTTGACTCACATTTTGATCACACATCAGTCGCACAGCTGCCAGTCGAACATTTCCTGTTTTCTATCTAGTGCCCTATAATTATGGCAAGAGAGCACTGTCCAAAAAATAATAAAAAATAATAATAATAAAAAAATGGTATACTGCATTGTTTTCTCTCAGACAAGTTTGAAAACACTCAAGAATTAAAAACTGAGCTTCTGCTAGATATATTTTGATTTCATACAAAATTTGAAAATAGTATTTTCAATAGTGCTGTGCATTTTTCATAGCAATAAACTTTAACTTCTTAGTTTAACTAAAAAAAAAAACTAAAAAAAAAGCAGCAATAATCTGCCAAGTGTCTTCTTTAAAAAAAAAAAAGACCAAACTTAAGCTCCAAAACATTCAAGGTTTATAACAGCTGAAGTTGGAAATGTCTTTTTTAGGTGTTTAAAAAGTGGTAATAAATTGATTATAACTACTGCATAAATATTATTTAGTACCATATTAATATGAAATAAAAACATATTGAACTAAAACATAATACATTCATTTCAATATTTTTTCCTCTCAATAAAAGTGACCGCAGAGGAAGAGACAGTAGTAATCTTATATTGTTTTTTTATGCCAATAACTGAATGAACACAGGAACAGACTGAGAGTGAAACAGAGATATAGTAATGAAAGTGCGGTGCTGAGGTTCGTGGTTTGGCATATCAATACCCTTGCTCTGTATAATGCTCGACCAGCCTGCAGCAGTCCTCCACTCATGCCTCTGTGTATATATATATACATACACAAACACACACAGCCAAGTGACAGAAATAGCAGACGGTCTTCACCCTGCTGAGATGAAGCAGCTGGTCTCACTTAAGATGCTTCACCCATCATCTCAGCTGTGTTCAAGTGAGCCAGGAAAACATACAGTGACTTTCAATGAAACGGACATCTTCGCTGCATATATATATATATATATGCATGTATGAGTGTATGTATGTATGTATGTGTGTGTATATATAATTGATATTAACTATATTGTTGTATACTAACCAATTTTAAATATATAATACACCGTCATTTACCATACACAAAACAAACTCATAGTACTCATAGTATTTTGAAATTATACATGTATGTATATTGTAATAAATATATGCATATTTTAAACTCAAATATATAAAAATGAGAGCTCAACATCAATGTAATTATGTTCAATGTATGGAACTTGATCAGTGGGTCCATGTAATCATTTACCATGGTATAACAGGTGTACATGCATTGACCCCAATTACACTGCAAGGAAAACAGACCAGCAAAAAAAAAAAATCATGTAAATATTTTACTACACAAACAGGAACTACTCCACCAAGCGTTGTGCAATATATATACAATATTTATTTGAAAACACAACAAATAGGAAATAATAACCATCACATAGTCCACAAATATTGTGGAGGCAGTGTGAACAGTTACAGGGAGATGTTAGGTGAAAAGAAATCGGAGGAATGTATTCTTGCTTAATATATTTAAATAGGGATTTGAGATAAAAACAAATGTCCTCTAAGTGCTGAGCAGAACCAGAGTCCAATGTTCTGGGTATAAAACAGTTCTTATACCATTATTTTAATATAAAATGCCAATATAGTTAATTGAAGTCATAAAGAAGTCGAAAATTACAGACCAGTCCAAAAGATCATGTGTTTTCTGCAGTAAATCTGTTGATTAAAGAGACAGTTCAGCCAAAAAAAATCATTCCGTCATCATTTACTCACCCTCATGTCGTTCCAAACCTGTGGAACGTTAAGATGTATTTTGTCCATAAAATAAAAGTTAAAAGGTTCAAAATGACACGACGGGGAGTAACTATTAGATCCACTGCAGGTGTTTAGTACACAGTGCAAAGTAGAGTATTCACCATTAGTTGAGAACTGACAATATTCAGTAACACATTCATTTGTCTGAGGTTTTCTGTGAATATGCTACATAATTACTCATTCTGTCCATCTTTTTTGGTTATCGCCAAAAGAAAAGCAATTTAAAAGAGTCCCAGATCTCCTGTGACCTCAGAGAAGAGGCCACACTCTGTTCCACCACCGTTCACTGCAACCCAGCGCTCTCGCCGCACTGTTTTACCTCCACAACTGCCGAAGTCTTCAAGAGGAAAGTCCATCCTCCTCTTCCTGTAAGGTGTGATGGCTAATTAAAGCAGTCTCTATCTCTCGGCCTCCATGACGATACTAGCATGCTCAGCGGAGGCTTGCTGAGTCACAGCCGCCGGCCAGCCTGGTGAGGGTGCTTGGGGCATGAGCTGACCTGGAGTCCAGCGACCCTGGTGACCAGGGGTTGCCGGAGGGCTCATGGCCCAGTTGGTGTGAGGAGCTGGTGACGTGGCCATAGAAGCGATGGGACTGCTGTTGCCGAAGCTCTCGGAGGCTTTTCTCTCGGGCAACCGATTTCCTGAATACCTGGGACAGTTTCCCATATCATGCCACAATAAAATAAAAATGATAAAACCATTTAAGTGCAAATTAATATTTCAAGTCAAGAACATTTATTTAGTAAATAGTTATGTAAAAAGTTGATTGTTAAATCCACTTTAAGCAGTTATTTCACTCAGCAGCTCTGAGCGCTTTTATAAATACTCACTAGGGTTTGGTTTAGTTTCTGTAGATGGCAAAACTATACCAGTACACAGGCAAAAATCTGATTTGTCCATTGACAGTAATTTAAAAGTAACCATGTCTGATAAACATATTTTGTAAATGATGTGTAAATCACAAGTATATCATTATATTCTAGCAGTGGATCAAGGATCAGCTGGTTTATATCAGCAACCAAGTTCCATCAACTGCACCGAAAACCCCTCACACACCCTGGGACATCCTTACTGTTTAACTATGACAATAATAATGAGACCTTGAAAGTGAAAGCTGCATGTGTAAAGGCTATTCTTTTTTTTTAAAGTTATTTTTATGCCTTTTTTAATGAGATACGACAGTAGAGAGATGACAGGAGAGCACTGGGAGGAGAGAGGGGAGCGGGTTCGGCAAAGGACCTCGAGACAGGAATCGAACTCGGGTCGCCGTGAGTGCAGTTGCACTATGTGTCGACACACTAACCACGAGGCTATTGGCGCCGACGTAAAGGCTATTCTTGAGAAGAGCTCAAACAATACCCTGTCATTCGAAAGTGTAACAGTGCTTTCCAGTCACAAGTCACACACAGATCATTCTTGCAGTATAAGGCTACGTTTACATGACAACGATTTTTCCCTTGCGTTTTTAAAAAGTTTCAAGTATACACGACAACGTTTTCAAAACGATTCGTGTTTACACATATCTGAAAAACACATATCCAAAAATGCTGCATTACGTATGCAAGGCCAGTAGTTGTCACCTTGTTAGTAAACAGTACCTGTAGTGAAGTGACGATTATATGTTGTATATGATGCGTCTCCACTGTTGGTTGTAATATTGGTGAAGTAAATCCACACTTTGCTGAAGAAGCATTAGCAAACTCTTGAGTTTTGGGTGTTTACACGGAAACGATAACGGTGGCGTTTTCAAACACTTGCACTTTGAAACCCGTTTTCTAAAATATGTGTTTTCAGTCCCCAAAACGCCGTTGTCGTGTAAACGAACAGGCAAAACGCATAAAAAGTTTCCCATTTTTGGCTGAAAACGTTGTCGTGTAAATGGCCCCTAAATCACCCGTCTTCTCACACTCTCAGGGGTCCAAACATTTTAAGCAAATATAAACATGCCCATGTCCACCAAAAATGACATCGCACAACATTACCTTTCACCTAACTTTTTATAATCAGAATCTGATTTGTTTTGTTTTTTTCGTTTGTCATGTTCTTTGCTTAGATGTACTGTAAGACACTGGCAATATATGAATGAAATGTATTATTACACTTGTTGTTAGTAATTATAAACGCAGTCAATCGCGTGACGCTCGAGGCGTCACCATAGCAGCGCCCATAAGGGTGCGACCCGCTCCCTGAAGAATAAAACAGCCTTTTCTAAAATACTGATATGAGTCCAAGTCGTGTGGGTGTACACTGTACCTCATTTAAATATTGCATCATTTTAGCTATGCTCATTTTATGAAGTAAACCTTCTTAATTAGCAAAAACGAGTATGTGCGTTGTAAGTGAGAAGCAAATGAGGTGCTTTCCAAGGGTTAACTACATTTGATCCGCTTTGCATGTGGCCGGTAGTATTACTACTTCTAGGTAATTCCAAACAAATTCCTTTGATTTCAAATATCTGCTAGAAAATGTAAAATGTGGGGGTATTTAAGCCAGTGAGGTTTTGAGCATGCTACTGCGTTCCTATCGTACCGATCTAATTGATTTAGTACCGGTGTAAACAGCGCCGTGTCAAGCGCGTGTTCTCTCTTTTTCCTGGAATCGCCCTCCCCCACAACTTTGGACACGTTTGCAAAAACGCAAGTCCCATGAGTCCAGATTATTTTATCATCTTAAATATTAACATATTTAATTAACTACCTACGGGAGATTATATGTGCTTAAACGACAACGTTGCGAATTTTAAATGACATAAATGTAGCCTTCGCTAGAAACATGTCAGCCTGTGTTTATTTTTGTCTGACTCGTGGTTTCAACATGGCGGAAGTCATAATAACAGATATGAAAAACTATCAATAAACGACAAAAAAAAAATATACTCACCATTTGATGGCTGTAAGGAATATTAGCCTCTTGGAAAAATGTACTGAGAGCAGTCTGCAACACCATAATAAAAGAGATAGAAGTACGTTAATTCATAAATACTCGAGGACGTAAGCAAATGTGTATTTGGCTTTGAACATAACATTAAACTTATAGACTTTTCATTTCACTGAAGCTAATATTTTTAATTCCGTTTAAAATAATTTATTATGTATTTCAATGTCTTATATGTTTAGATTGACTGCTGTCTGGTGCTTGTCTCGCATGATTATAAATTATGTCTATATATAAATAAACTAAAAGTTAATCGATTTGTGCTATTTTTTTGCTGTGCCACAAGACGTTCAGTTTGATGTGCCCTAACAAACAAACATACCTCAAACTGCCAGTGTGAAGCTTGTAGAAGCTGCTTTGCTTGATCTGCCGCACACCCGGCTGTAAGAACAAACTGATTTATCATAACTTGATGCCTTAGCTCGTCCATATTTAGTTAAGAAGCCTGTGTGATTTCGTCAGTTTCAAAGTTTTAGCTTGCAGTTTTTCAAAAACGCCGCACTCAAACATGAACTTGTCGACTTGAAACAAAAAAAATGTTGTGAGTTCAGTTGAGCCGTCCTACTTAGCGCCCCCTGATGGACAACTGCAGTGAGCGTCAGAGAGGGACTCTGGGATTTGTATGGATACTCTCCAAAATGGCACCAGGGTGACGCGGAGACGAATTGTTGAATAAAGTCGTTCTTTTTTTCTTTTGCGCACAAAAATTATTCTCGTAGCTTCGTAAAATTATGGTTGAACCCCTGATGTCACATGGATTATTTTACCGATCTCCTTGCTACGTTTCTGGACTTGGGAACATTTCAGTTGCGTTGCTGTCTATGGGAGGGTCAGACAGCTCTCAGATTCCATC